TGTGTGTGTGTGTGTGTGTGTGTGTGTGTGTGTGTGTGTGTGTGTGTGTGCAGGCACTCATGCACTGGTATATTATGCATGCCCGTGTGTGTGCACTTGCAAACGCGCCCTCCTATCAAGGGGACTTGCCTGTGATCGTTAATGGCAATGTTAATATTTAATGGTAAGCATGTTGTCAGCAAAGAGCAGCAGGGCTAACTCTGGAGTCGTATAAAAGATGACAGGGTCTCTGCACGAGGTGGCTCAGTGGGGGTGTCATACGCAGAGTAGGATGAGAGGCCTCTGGATGCACAAGGGCTCCTTCCTGATAGAGCTGAACAGCACAGGACTGATGTTATGGGGCTTGATGGAATGTACTTAGGAGCTCAGTAAAGCATTGCTGCTTCTTTGCAAAGCAAAGGCACGCAGGCACACATGGACTGGACGCAAATTCATCAGAGCTTCCACATTATAGTTGAATGGGACCTGTCATGCTCATTTCCATCTCCATGTTTATTGCTCTTTCAGCTTTACTTGCAAAACGTTTCATTTATCTTACACTGGGACCTGGTGGAGCCCCTCAGTTTATCCTCTGCTTCAGTCAAGCTCTCTTAGCTGCTGATTCTTTAAACCAACTGTCCCTCAAAAACTGGAAAGTGAAATCATGTGAAGGTTTTCGAAAAACTCCATGCACTCCTGTGAAAAACAATTAAGTACATCCCCATGATTGATTATAACTCAGAACCACCTTTAGCATCAGTAACTGCAAGTAATGGTTTCTGGCATAACTTCACTTCAATATCAGTCGCTCATGTTGTGAAGGAATTTTGACCCATTCTTCTTTACAAGATTCCTTCAGTTTATTGAGGTTTCCCAGCATTCATTTAGGTGCAGCTCTATTGAGGTCTCACTACAGCACTTCAGCCAGATTTAGGTCTGGACTGGGCCCTTGCAGCATCTTGATTCATTTCTTTTTGAGCCATTCTGTTTGTGCTTGGGATCTTTGTCCTGTTGCATGACCTACTTTCAGCCCAGCTTTAGCTGTCATACAGACTGCCTCATATCTGACTCTGGAATACCTCAGTATACAGAGGAGTTCATGGTTGATTCAGGTTGATTCAGTGACTGTAAGGTGTTCAGGAGCTGCGGCTGAAAGGCAAGCCCACACACTCACCCAACCACCACCATGCCTTAGTAGGAGGTGTTTGTGCTGATAAGCTGTGTTTGGTTTTCATCAAACGTGCTCTGCATATTGTCCAAAAACCACATTGGTTTTGTCATACGCAGCTTTGCAATCCTAAGCTGTCCTGCCATGGTCTTCTTTGGAGGTGTCCTCCTTCCAAATAAGCCATACTTGTTCAGCCTTTTCCTGATTGTAGTTTCATGAACTAAGTAAGACTTGTAGAATCTGTATTCTACTATATTAAGCATATCCACTATCACTGTCATCACACAGAGACAGGAGTAGAAAAACAATGTGTCAGATAAAGTTAAGTTTTTAGCTTTTATATCTCAATTACTTGCACTTCTGTGGAATTTCAGCCATGTTTGTAGCATCCACCAGTGGAACAGTGTGTGGATAACAAAAAATACAGCAAGGAATAAGAATAGCTACTTCTAAAAGCGTCCTACTGGACTTTGTTGTTAGAGCGCTGTAGCTTGAGCTGTCAAATCCTTAAAAGTTCATTATTCCTCCTAAGGTTGATAAAATAATTCTAACTTAAGACTCACTCATTTTCGTAAACTTTCTTCGATATCAAGCTGTCTCCGTCGGTGTATGGATCTACTCTGTTGTCATTGAGATGAATCTGCTGACCTTTTCCCAACTGTAAAAATCATATCAGCCACTGAATTTGCAGACCAACAACATCCATCTCACTGACAACGGAACAAGCTCTACTCTGCCATGTAAAGATCATGTAATATCATTTAAAGCCAGTATGTGGACACTGAGCAGGGAATGCCCTTTCTCACCCGTCATATCATGTAGCTACATGCAGAGTTATACTGTATCAGGTTTATTATGCTGAGCTTTTGAGACTTGTGTCTCTAAAATACAAGAAATAGTGAGTGCTAAAGCCTGGAATAAACCAAATAGGTCTATAAAGCAGTCAGCTTAAGTGAGACTGAAAGCTCACCAAAAGCTACAATGTTTTTGGAGATGGAGGAATTTACAGTAAATACCTATAAGACTAACAAGAACGCATGACAGATTTCCTGATGAAGTGCTGACTTATGGTATGAAATTTGCTGTAAAGTCCAGCACATGTGGATAAAAACAGAATCATTGAAAGCAAAATGGAAAATGTTTACACCCAATATTTGCCTGGGTTGAGTTTTTGCTGTGATCGATAAAGAATGCGTTTGTCTAACCTTTACACAACTAAGTTGGCTCACCACCAAATCCAATGCAGAGAGACTTTTCATGCTATGCCACAATGACTGTTTTAGTTTTTCACAGAAGTAACTTGAACACCGCACATAACAAGTGTTTTCTGAGCATGATATGAAAGTTCTAAATAAAGCAACCTTCTGATCTTTTGTTTGTGCGCTCCAAAGTGCAACACCACACGATGCTCAGCTGTGCGTCTGCTTGTTCTGATTGTCATCTTTCTCACTTTGATTCCTTTGTCTTTTGCTCCCTCCTGCACCGCCTGCTCAGATGTACCAGACAGGAAGCTGACTTCTGACGAGGAGGAAGCCAAGCGCATCGCGGAGATGGGGAAGCCGGTGCTGGGAGAACACTCCAAGCTAGAAGTCATTATTGAAGAATCGTATGAATTTAAGGTGGGAAAGGTTACTCTTCAAACAAGGTGAAGATAGCTTCGCGTACATGGTTGTTGTAGTAAGACGGAGATCATAATAACTAATCCAGCTGCGACCTTGCATAAAAGAACAGCTACATATTTCTAATTTCAGCTTCTCTTCCGAGGCTTCCCATCCCACATAGATTTATTTCTGGAGGTGATTTGCTTTTAATGCATCCTCTGCCCTCCAAATATACCCTCCATGTTTGTTTCTGGTGTGTGTGTGTGTGTGTTTTTATCATGCTTTAAACGGGTTTTTGTCATCAGGGATTGGAAAGCACTGCCATCATGTGGTGAAGCTCGAGTATTTTTCTTCAGGAGGCTCCATGGATGCAGAGTAAAAACTCTGGGGCTAAATAATGGATGGATTTGATTTGTGTTTTGGTGTCGTGTCATGCAGAGCACAGTGGATAAGCTTATCAAGAAGACCAACCTGGCTCTGGTGGTGGGAACAAACTCCTGGAGAGAGCAGTTCATGGAGGCCATTACAGTCAGTGCAGGTAATGTAATCCGCTCTGAGCGGGCTGTAAAACCCAAACTTTACTTCAGTATGAGATGTTATATGTGACTATGTATGACAATAAAGGCAAAATGTATATTTTCCAAAATGCAAAGCCAAGCCATTTATCTTTTATGTGTTTTTCTGTGTAATTATTTAACATAAAGAAAGAGTCTAATCAGGCGAAGACTCTGGCAGCACTGTTTGCTTTGCCGCAGTCTTCAGTCTAAAAATATAGACGCCACTATTCGTTTGCAAAAACTCATATCGGTGAAAGCAAAGCTCTTGAATAATGTCTTGTACATAACACATACCTCATCTATCACGTCAAGCCACAACACTGAGCGCCATGAAGGCCTTGGTTTGTCACTTTGCTGCTGAAATATTAAATCCTGCAATGCTCTTTATTTTTTCATGATCCACCACTGGCTGAAAAATGCATGCAGTTCACGTAGTCTGACACTTTGAGTCCTGACAGCGTCCCTGCCTTTCTGCTAAGTTGCCTTTGAGGCGCTGGGACACAGAGAGTACCCTGTTCCTTCACCTGAGGAGGGTATCCACGGACATTTTCAGCTGCTGAGATGAAACTTTTATCCGAATGCGCTCGTAAGGAGCATTCTCTGGCCACTTGGCCATCCTGCAAATCAAAAGGGCTGCGTTCATCCCCTGAAAATCCCTCTTATGTTACCCCAGAGTTTCTACAAGGGCAGCTGATTTACAGTACTATGTGCACTGCTTTTTTAATATGCTAGAGTTTACATCCATGTCACTGTTAACTGGGTAACACTTCTGACACGCTCACTAAACAAGGGAAAACATCAAATCTAATTGCCCAAAACACAGTGGGATTGAAACATGTCATTCAAACCAGAACGTAATTACATTTCGAGTGTAAATCTGAAACCTTGTTAAAACCTGCCCAGAATTACTTCGTAGTTTGGTTTAGGGAGGGTTCATGAGAGTTTTCTAATATCTAACGTAGTTTTTAATTTTTTTTAACGTTATTGTTGCAATAGGTTTTTGTTTTAATCTGTAATCATCAGTTCTCATCCATCCTTCTGAAATTTGTTCCCTTCCCACCAGTTTTCTGCACTACCTGTGTTAGTAATCTGCATTTGCTTGACCTCCGTTATCACCCTGGAATATTAAAATTTGTATTTGTATTTGCTCCTGTTGTCCTTTCGTCCTTTTCAGCTTCAGCAGGTTGTCTTTATGTCTAAGTGTCCAAATGTACTAAGTTTCTTCCATGTGATTAGTTATGTAAACAACTGTGCAGACAGACAGACAAACAGATAGATGGTTCTCTCTGTCGCACACTGAGAAATAAGTTGAGATGTCATTTTAAGTAAATGTTGTTCTCTTCTTTCCCCTCTGTCATCCCTTATCTGCTTACTTTATGGATCCTTTATCTCACCCCTTTTTTCCAACTCTTGGTTCTTTATCCTCTTCGCTCTCTCAACTTCCTGCTTCATTATCTGTCATCCTTCTTTCTGTGTCATACTCCCCTTTGCTTCTTCATCTTCTGTCTCTCTCTTCTTCATTGCTCCCTGTCTCCTCACTTAATATTTACCTCTCCTGCTTCGCGGCTGTCTCTTTATCTTTGTCCATATGCTGCTATTTTTCCATCCTCTCCTCTTCCCTCCGCTCCTTCCTGTCATCCTATTTTCCGCCTCCGTCTCCCCCCGCTCGGCCCCACTTCTGCCCAGGAGATGAGGACGAGGATGACACAGGGGAAGAAAGGCTTCCTTCCTGTTTTGACTACGTCATGCACTTCCTGACCGTCTTCTGGAAGGTCCTGTTTGCTTGTGTTCCTCCCACGGACTACATGAATGGCTGGGCGTGTTTCACCATCTCTATCATTATAATCGGCCTGCTCACGGCCGTCATCGGCGACCTGGCATCTCACTTCGGCTGCACTATTGGCCTAAAGGACTCAGTCACTGCTGTGGTTTTTGTGGCACTCGGCACCTCAGTCCCAGGTGAGTTCAAGAAAAGCAGAAGGAACTGTTTTTGAAAAGCACGTGTCATTTTCAATACACAAATTTTTATTACATACAAATCTGGGCTCTGAAATTGTGCTCATTATTTGTTATGTCGCTTGATGGATATGTGGTTCATATTTTTGTTATGAAAATTGTGACTTCATGGGCTCCAACAGTAAACATGCTTTGTCATCAAGATTGCTGATCGTATTTACTCCAAAATGACATTTTCCACCCTGACAGGAACAATATGTCACCAAAAACTCTGACTGCATCAGCATTTTCTGCTATTAAAGGTCCTATATGTGGCACTAATAAGATATATATATATATAATTTTTCTAAAACAACCAAG